TGGTATTAATGACATGGAGGCGATTACTTCCTGAGACGCTACGAGGGGGGGGGTGCAGCGTTTGTTTCTTTCTCGACTTCCATATTGGCTGATGAAACGTTCCCTTTCGGTTGTTTCCTTTCCTACTATGGTGCTGAAATCAACTTAGACTTTCTTCTGCATTACGGTTTTCAATTCCTCACAGAACTGCTCCACCTCCTTATCATTTGATGGCCTTGTTTGTCTAGAAACTTCGATTATCTTTAGTGATCTTTTTTGTCTGGCCCCAGCAATAGTACGGTGATACGAGGTGACATGACATGAGGCACGCAGCTGACGAAGAGTGGCGCAATCCTCTTCTTCATGAAGAATCCTACATCTCTTGTCTGAGCCAGATTCTCATTGCCTTTCCAAAGGAACATTTGTTCACCGATGTTCCACTGTGCTGAAAGTTCAACGGATCTTCACACAGGCTGAGAATGTCTACATTGATTTTGTGTCCCCCCTTCCTGTGATGTAGATATCGATATGCGCGTATGATGATAGATATCGAGTTTTGGGGATAGTTACGAAGATCTTGATGATATCGCACCGCCGTTTGCCAATCGTTTCTTGATCCATCATCGGGTGGTGGGTAATCCCAGTTTATGATATGCTGATGTGGTAGCCTGCACCTGCGGCCATGGTATTCTTCCGCAAGTTTCGTAGGCAGCTTCTTCAGGGTGCCAACCAACCTTCGTGAATTACAGCCCTGGTACTCCACATCCTTCAACCAGCCCATCGCGATGCAGAGGGTAGGTGTTTGCTGAGCTCTTGATCACAGTAGAGTTCACTGACCAGTGTCGTACCTCACTGTCTCACTCCACCTCAGAAGACCCTCTGCGAAATACCTAGAGTACTCACAATTTAGTGGCTCATTAAGTATTAAAAGTATATACAATTTCAATAAGCACATAATATTTTAACATTGCTGACAAATGCAGCTGTGCGAGCACATGGTGCAGTCTAGCGACCTCGAAGAAAAAAGTTCGAAAGCTTCCATGGAAAATTTTCCATGAGGAATTTAACAAGCCGGATCAAAAATAAACAACCTACTGAACCGATATCGCAGAGGGCCACCTGAAATGGAAGGCCCGTTCTTCGCATAAGCTGCCCTACCGTCCCGATGACCAGTCAGAAAAAAATGCAGGATGATAATGATGATTATGAAACGCTTTCTGGTATAACGTCCTGCCTTATCGTGATAAACAATTTTATGATCTTTCCCACTGTTTGCGATCGATTTCGATACAAACATATATTCCTCCAATTATTACAGTACGGTATTCCTTTTCGAATTTCTTCTTTCACTGGAAGGCATTTATCACGACTTACGAACAAAGGCCATAGTTCAACCTCGTCGCCGCTTTGTTAGATGGCGGCAAATGACTTGGCTTGACCTTTCGAAACGATTATGGTCACAAAGCGATTTAAAGACAAAGACGGCTACAACGTTGTTGTGTGTTCCTTGTTACAACCATTCATTAAGAATATTGATAGGGTGGTATTTCAAACGTGTTGTACTCCGTTATTCTCATTTCACTGGATTTACGTTATGCGGTAAGTAAAAGGTTAAGTTTAAAATATTAACCAAATGTTGATCTTCTGAGTTGATGATTTAAGCTACACATCAACTACTTGTCGTAACTAAATTATATCTAGTTTATTATACCATAAAGACGTGGCCTGCTTAAATGGTCCCCCCTAGGCATCTAGAAGCAAGGACGAGGTGCAGCAATGCTACTGATGTACAGTGCCAAATAGACTTTTCTTTCTTCATACCGTGCATTTTCACCGTTTCAGTGCGGTATCATTATTTTAAATGTAAATTGTACTTAGCTTTACAATTGATAACGGCTTGTTGGCAATCATCCAGGTCTGTGTTTTCAGGGTTTCACGGATATATAAGCGGTCACAGACTTTAGTTGGAAAAAGGTAGGTAAAAAAGTAAACCAAAGAGACGTAAGCGATTCTTCCTCTTGACAAACTGCTACAGCACGTTCTGATGAATAAGTCAGGTTTCGTTGTATTTTTATTTATGCACAATTACACGTATAATGTAGCATACATTTTACCGTCGAGAGCGGTAGTTCGTCTATTCGTCTCTACTGAAATGGAGTCAAACTTATGCACTTTTCAGTACAGATCAGTAATGTGTGGTTTTCACCAAATTTTCGCATAAGCCTTAGCCTACATGAAAGCCGTGGTGGAAGCTTATGCACGCAACCACAATGCTTTGGCTCTTGTATAGAGATTAGCATGTTAATAATGCAGTGAAACCGTGGTATTACCGGCTTGGGCGGTAATGCAAATCAGGTTCAATCCATACTGGTGTTGACGGGTTATCACCCTGGATTGTAATTTTTTAAGAATAATCTAAGTTTATAGAAGATAGACGGAGCAAGGTGAATCCCCAACTGTCGGTCCTCACGAATCACAGAGTCGGAACAACTTCAAAAATGTGAGATCTCTGCAAAATAGACTTTGTCATTTGTCAATAAGATATTCCATACTGTGTAATGACAGCAAAGTCATTGTCACACCTGTCATGAAGAAAACGAAAACGAAGCATGCGTTGAATGAAGCTCCACCACGGCACTGCAACCCAGAACTGTCATTTCTGCGGTGACAGGTCACTGTGCAGGAGAAGAGCCGCATTTTGACAATTGACTGCCACAAAGGGCACAATCACCAATTATTGTGGTGTGTTTCTGAAATGCTGGGGACTGTATACCGCTAAATGAATCCTCTTCCTCGCCATTGTCATTTGCATCACCATCATCGCCTCTACCATTGATCTGATTACCATTATCATAACTAATATCATAATCAGAAGAATCATAATCGTCACCACAATCGTCAATGCGTTACTGACTTCATTTCCATCATCAGCACACAATCAAAATCATCATCCTTGCCACCACTTCTAGCAAATTTTCAGTTTCATCGTTATAAAAATGGCTTTCGTCATCTTCACCGTGATCATAATCATAATCAGCATGATAATTACAATCGCTATTAGCACCATAACGACGACTTCCGTTTCGGACCAAGTGACCTTTCGACCTTGCTGAGCAATGCCCTACAGTGGTCACAAACAATCGGCTAAACCGATTCATATTTCTATCGAAACTCCATCGAATATCTGAAAGTAACCGTGTTATGCTGGATTAAAAATATGACAGCAAAATATTCATGCAATGTTTTTAAAATTTTAAAGAAACAACAACCACACCATGTTACGGCAGTAATTGCTTTCATAGGCACCTCGAAAGTGTTCCAAATTTTTTTTCAGTCTTTGATGGCTCGTCTCTCTAATGAACGTCATTCCAAATGCCGAGTGTTAATTTCTGGAACATTTCATCAGTAAAGGCTGAGCCATCTTGCTCAAGTAGGCTGGACGTCAGAGAGTGTGAACGTTTTTCTGTTTATTGCCTTTATGAATAATTGTTTTTTAATCTTCTACATGATATACATGGGATAAAATTGGCTGTGTCATTTTAATTAAAATTTATCGTAGTTTCCTGGCCTTGAACCCGGTTATCGGAAGTTTCTTCGAAACACATGTAAGAAGGCTGAAACAATCCCATTCTACTATATTCGTCACCAAAACAGTGGTACATTCCACACAAACACCGTAAGATAGATTATTTTGAGATTGAATCCTTAGTGCTAACAGCGGCATACGACTTTGAACTATCGAAACTGCCCACTTTTTCTCACGCATGGCCGAAGTTCAAAGTTACACTTCAACTGCCCATTTTCCATCTGCTTTAAGCACGTCACTACACTACTGCCACCAGCTGAAGCTTGTGATATGCTAAGTGAAACAATAATGAAGTGAACTGATAAGTAAAAAATGATCCTTTTTTATGCATGAGATGATCATATATTTTGTAACGTTGCAAACGCTTGAAATTCTTAATTCTATATGTTTCATAGCGGTGCTGGCAATTCGGAACAAGCACGGTGCGTTTCCAGGCATATTAACTCTAAACTTTCTAAAAACATAAATTTGTAATATTATATTATATACTCATATAAATACCATAAAGTGGTCAAGTCTGCCAGCAACCTTCCATCCATGTGTTTCTCTGTTGTAGAGACGAGCTGTCCCAGAACTACGTAGTTTTGCGTCTGTTCAAGTCGTAGGCCACCGACTTCAACAGTCAGGTATTTGTTAAACATGATCCGTATGTTTTCCGGTCTGTTACAGGTCATCGTTAAGTCACGTAAGGCTCAGCTTCCCCCATGGCCTGTGTTCCTCTCTATTCTCATCGTCATTAATGGAGAAAGGAACCAATTGCGTTCCGACTTGACGGTAGAGGCCTTCAAGCACATCTGCCCGCAGAAGAATGAGCGCAGGGCATATGGCATTCTGTGATACGAAGAATCAATCTTCTCCGATTGTCAAATTGTTGATTTTTCGTGACAGTGATTGAGTGCAAGGATTGCCAACTCGATTTCAATTTATGATGATGCTGAAATTGGTATTCTGTTTGGGTGTACAATGGGCAGACTAAACTTGTAAAATTAATGGCTATTGTTGATTACTGATTTGTTCAGTTGTCATAATCAGTTATGTTCAGTTATTGGCTTAATGACTGTCAGCAAACTTTATTTATCGTACTGTTTATTAATGGACTTATAGTGTTAATTCGCAATACTGAAATAGGCGAATACAACTATACATGGGACCCGGACCATGCGACGCACGGAATAATTTAATGACATGGCGTAGGCTGATTGTAAAGTTAGTAAACCTTTTTGAAATTTACCTCAAAGACTTTTTTCACGGTAAAGTCGCTGTTTGCATTGCCAACGTTGTGCAGCTGATGTTCGAAACAGGCGATCATCCATAAATCTCATATCTAATTTTTTGAATAAACGAAATGATGCGTAATCTTGTGTACTTAGTGCTAAATTCGTTACTGTGAGCTAAAATAGTAGATGACCATGCCTTAATGTTGTTATTAATTATCCTGCTAACCCTATGCCCGTTCAGGTTTAATCTGAAATCTGTCCTCATAGGCAAATCTGTTTTTTTAAATGAGGGAAATTTTACTTTTCGCGACAGACACTCCATTATTAGCCTGCCATTCCGGGTTAATTGCGAGTCTTTGTTCAACTCAACCTCTAGGGTAAGCGTGTGCACTTTGTCAACTCACATTGTTTCGTTGTTTTGCTCTGGCGTTCTTTAGCACAATCGACACTGAGGGTAGTGATTGATCCTCCAAGCAATCAGTTGATCATAGACTTTCCGAGATAACCACAGGGCTTTCTGTTTATTCATTGTACCAACAACGCTGCCCAAAACGCGTGTCACGTACGGCAAACATGTTGACTTTAGATAAAGGTCCTACGGCCTAGCGAAACATGAAAAGAAACTCGTTTTACATCGCTGTACACAGAAAGCCGGTGTTTTACGCAAACTCTAAGCCTTGAAGATATTAATATTCGTTATTATTTATGTGCTTGATTTAGATCGCATGAGAAAAAATGAGGTCGAAAGAAGCGTGCATCGGTTTGTTCGTTTTGCTCCTGTGCATTCAGGCGACAGCCATGATCAACAGACTGAAGACTCATGGCTGTTCGAAACCGGAAGCGGCATCGTGGTTTCTGCCAGACACCATCATGCCAACAGATTATTTTCTCACGGTCCAACCTTATTTCCCACCGTTTGTGTTGCTCAGTGATCCGAAAGTATTTACGTTTGATGGACAATACAAAATGCACATGCGATGCGTCGAAAATACATCTCTGATCGTGATGAACTCAAGGGAAATTAGCATAGAAGTGTCAACCCTCTCTTTGCGAGAAGTCAACGAGAGTGGGGATGCGCTGTTGCAATTGCCGACACCCTCCATACAGTACGACGAAAGGCTCCAGACGGTGTCTTTCGTCGTTCCTTCGACGTTGCAAAGCGGACACTTCTACTCGCTGTCGTTCAACTACACCGGGCTTCTGGGAGACAGCATGGAGGGCTTCTATCGGAGCAGCTACATGGAAAACAGAGTCAAGAAGTGATCGAACTTATGCAAGATTGATACAGCACCGGTTTACACGTTCTTCTTTGATAGGTGGTTGGCTGTGACTGACTTTGAATGCTGTGCCGCGAGAATGGCCTTGCCGTGTTTCGACGAACCTCGTTTTAAAGCCGTATTTCACTTGGAAATAATTCACCCCACCTCCATGGTCGCCTTAGCCAATAACGAGAAGAACAGTGACGAAGATTACGGGTAATTTAAATTATGACTCATTGCACTTGTTGCTGATGATGTATTACGTTAGGAACGGATTTGTCAGAACAACTTTCAAACCATCTCCAAAAATGTCCTCCTACTTGCTAGCATTTACAGTGTGCGAGTTTAATCATACGGAAAAAGTAACTGTCAACGGAGTACTGGTGAGTTCTGTTAAATTATTATTGTTCAACTCTGTTCACTGGAAATTCGTACCATATTTAAATTTAGTGCTCATGTGGTATTTCAAATTTTATAAAGTTATGAGAAAAATTATTAGCTGATGTCTCGATGCTGGAAGATGTAGTCGCTCGAACGAAGGCTTTGTTATGGCAATACCCGAAAAAATAAATCGTTACTTATGACAGGATTACGGTACAAGAGCTGAATATTCGGCAAAAGAAAATCTTATAAATAATAATCACTAGCCGTTTGTATATATGTAAAAAGCAGAAGCCTTCTCGCCTTACCATGACGCATGCTTGAACATCATCGTTGGAAATTGCCAATAAGTCAGCCACAATCGCTGACCGATGACCCTCTCGGGTCGAGGAGGCAACCGCGTGAGACATCGTCTCAAATATTCCCGATCCCGTGTCGGGGTCTGAGTTTCAGCAGAAAAATTCGAGTCTCTAGCAGAATGCATCAGTACCTGCCACTGAAGCACTGTTCACAATGAGCACAAGGTGGCTGTAACGACCAACATGCTGTCAGCCGTGTTTTGCGTTGCAGGGCTAAAATATAAGGAACCGTTTCTAGCTTATGTGATCCCCTTAGGCAAAGAGGAATAAAGTAGCAACGAACGAATATATTTGAAAGATTATATACTTTTGACATAATTTACAAAGTTGTTTATTTAATGTTTATGAACCCTGTTTCGAATATAGTTCCGTATTTGGGCTCGACCTTCGGCCATTGACGAAACTGCATTCGCCACTGAAGCAGGACCAAAGGTTTTACCGTACTACGCCGCTTACTTTGACCGGAAATTTCCTTTGCCAAAGCAAGGTAAATAATAAAATTATGAAAAACAATTTTAAACTGCCGCAATACTGCAGCGGTTGCGACGTTGCTGAAAGCTGCGTTCGATTCCTCATCCTTCCTCAATGTTTCTTCTCATTTGTTGTTTCCTTCTCCCTCTGTTTATGCTCCTTCTTCCTTTCCATATCATTCACATTCTCGTCATTCTCTGTCTCTTGTCCTTTTACTTTCCTGCTTCTGCTTTTTGTTCCTTTTCTCTTGACCTTCCTCATTAGTAGTTTCATCTCTTTCTTTCCAATTCTTTTTATAACCTCCCTGCATTGCTTTGCATTCAGTTTCATCCGTTCCTTTCCATTCCTCTCTTTTGCCTTCTGCCTTTCGCCTTTCTCCGTCTCCTTTTCTTACTCTTTCTTCTACACAGTCTTTTTCACATTCTCTTTCTCGTTCCTCGTTGTCGTGATTCAATTTGGCTTTAGTGTTTAAGTAAAACGGTACCATTCGAGATATTATGAATGTCTATTCGTGAGAACAAACATGCTTGAACTCTAAGCATGTTCATTCTGGAAATAAGCTGGAAAGTAAAGCCTAAATACGACTGCAGAGAAGATGGTAATTGTTCCAGACATGAAAAAAAAGAAATCGCGTTACCATGGAACAATTTCCTGTCTAAATGATCCCGCTAGGCTACAAGGAGCAAGTGGGTGTTGCAGTATTGCGGTACAACCCTCTGTAAGACTTTCATCTGTCCTACAGCACCTTAATTTCGGCATAAAGTAAGAAATAAAATTTTCTTTCTTTACACGATCCATTTTCGCTGTTTAAATCCGGTATCACCGTTTGTAATGTTATATAATATAAAATGCTTAAACTGTTTTCCAGAAAATGTTTTCAGCGAGAAGCGAATCGCAACAGTATTGCCTAACACTACTGAACCTGAAAAGCTTTATTTAAATCAAACATTGTACTAGATATGCTTGCCGTTCCGGACTTCGAAGCGGGAGCCATGGAAAATTGGGGTCTCGTGACGTACAGGGAGACGGCGTTGTTGTACAACACGAAAACTTGCTGGAAAAAGAACAGAGATCGGGTGGCCACTGTTGTTGCTCATGAGTTAGCTCACCAGGTATCAATCTAATTTTGACAAGCATTTAAAAGTTGCTTCTGAAAGTTTAGTGGTTCGGTGACCTGGTGACGATGCAATGGTGGAACGACATTTGGCTGAACGAGGGATTTGCCCGCTTGTTCGAATATTTTGGCGCCGGCTACATACTTAACGAACCGACTCGCGTGGTAATTTCGCCTATTATATAAATTATGAATACAGACTCTTCTATCTGTTAGTCTACTATGTTAATTAGATAGTTTAATAGATAGAATGGTCATATGAATGACCGTTATAATGCAGAAATTAACGAAATGAAATATCTTACGTTGGTGGCGGTCTACGTCGAACGCAGATCGTTTTAAACTGTGCAGTGTGCTTAATCGAAAGCCGTGTTGTTTTAGGAAGAAGTCTTTCCTGTGGATGAAGTCCAAAAGGCTTTAGCATTGGACCAGTTAAATTCTTCTCACCCCATTTCTCAAGAAGTGTGCTCACCTTCAGACATCGAACAAATGTTCGACAGCATTACATATAGTAAAGTAAGTACATGCATGATATGAAGTTCAGAAATCGATCATGATATGACAAGCAGAGTTTTAGGGCGCTTCCGTCATTCGCATGCTGATGAAAACGTTAAACATGAACTTTAACGACACCTTTCAGGAATCACTGCGGGTAAGCAGCAGAAACGCGTTCGACAAGCGCAGTTTAAATCAACTTTAAGGTGGTTGATTACCGCATAACCAATCGTGGGATTTTTTAATATTTTTTATTCTAATCTTGTCTAGTTTTGATAATCAGATTCAGCGATTTGCATTAGCAGAAGATCCACTTTGCAAGATAGAAAGAGAACTCCTATTTCAGTGTCACAGAAGAAAGAATTATTTTCATATTGCAGGTTTGTACAAATCTTGTTTGAAAATATCACAAACTGTCATATTTTAGTTCCTATGTTTCTGTTTTCATCGTCATCTGAGGCACCGGAGTCAAAAACCGAGGACCCAGATTAATGATATTTGACTGTTGGATTTGTCAGGACGATTTAGGCGTTGTTGGCTGCCGCGGCAAAGATCCTATTCCTCGTCGCAAGCAAATCCGCCTCTGGCAGCCGCTTGAGGATGCGAGGTTCGCCTCCAACGAGTCTGAGGCTAATTTTGCTTACCAAATGAGAACGGTTTTGGACGAGTCTCAGTTCTCACTCAGAAAAGTTCTGTCAAACCACGATAGACGCTGGTCTCTGATTTCTT